TTTCTAAGTTAGTAACCTGAGCCTTACAAGTTTTAATGTCCTCAAAGTTGTTCTGTTCATAAATGAGAGTATTTAAAATGGTACCTGTCTGCCTGACAGGAGCAAATCGGGTAGACGTGGTCATAATTTCTTCTAGAGGCTGAGGATGTTGCTACTACAAGGTTACACTCCATGACCAACATAAACAAAGAATTTGCTTAACTCACCTGATCACTTCTGTGAATCTGCACAAATCTCCCTGATCTTTGCTTGGAGACTGACGAGAAGCTGACTGGCCTTCATGGCCCTGGCTGAGGATCAGTTGACCTAGCTCCACCTGGTCCTTCTCCTTCCAGCGGGCTACCCTCCTGCTCTCGGTTGTTCTTGATGTAGAGCAGAGGTCCAGGAAGGAGATCCTTGTCGCCAGAGTCTTTCTATTGCTGTGTTTAAGGAAGGTAGCCCAAACTGGCCTCAAACTCTATGGTCCTCCTGTGGTGCGGGAGAATTATCTGTATTCTGTCAATCATATTTTAATAAAACGCTGATTGGCCAGGCAGGCAGTATAGGCGGGAAAGCCAGACAGGAAGTAGGGGTGGAGCAAAGAGACTGGGAGTATTCTGGAAGCAGAAGCTCTCTCTCAGCCATTCCTGCGCAGACCACCAAAGAGGCAACATGTAAGCTGTCACACTGAGAAAGGTACTGAGCCCATGTGGCTAACATAGATAAGGATAATGGGGTAATATATGTTATAAGAGTTAACAAGAAGCCTGACCTAATGGACCAATCAGTTTATAACCTTATGGAGTCCTGTGTATAATTTCTCTATGGGATTTGCCGGCTGTTGGGGTACCGGGCGGGACGGAAACCCCAACAAGCTGGCCCTCATGCTACACTCCTGCCTCTGCTTCTTGGGTGCTGGGCTGACAGGTATGTACCAATAAGCCTGTTTATAAAGGCTTCACGAGGTTTCTAATACTTGTCCCCTATGGTGTTGGTAGAAGTAAATACCGGTACTAAGTTCAAGGGTAGAGAAACAGACTCCACATCTTCAAGAACTGCAACGTCATTTTGCAAAGATTCATGGGTACAAAGAGATCACTAACTGGGTTATATTCATACAAAGAATACACGCCATCTTCCATAGTGTTAATAAATGCTGACTGGAACTGAAAATTGTAATGGTCTGTCCTGTCTGTTTATGAGGCAAGCCCTGCCCATTCCACCCCCACCCTTCTTCCTTTTGCTTCCATCTCTCTCCCAAGAGGTAGCTGCTGTTGTAGCTCCTCTCCTCTCTGTTTCACTTTCTCTCTCTTACTCTGCCTCTCTCTGCTCTCTCCATTTTCCCCTTTCCCTCTTTCCCTTTCCCTTCCATAACCCACTAAAAAAATACCCACTTTCTCTGGTGTGCCTAGTAGGTCTCTGTCTCTCACCCTCCCTGTTGATCCCTGCCTGGGACCTGGTTGCCTTCATGGCCAGCCGTTTGTCTCTTTCTTGCGCCTGCTGCCCACGGCCACCACTCGGGGGACCTGCAACATTTAACCATAACAAACATGGTAATGGTAATCTTCAAACAAAGCGCTGAACCCACTGTGATTTTCTTTCTTTTTTATTTTAATTATTATGCTGATACTCAAGGAACAGAGGCCGGTGAATAACTGTGAATTCAAGGCCAGCCTGATCTACAGAGCAAGTTTCAGGAAAGTCAGTACTATAGAGTGAAACACTTTCCAAACAAACAAACAAACGGTAAAAGAAGCCTGACAGCTGACTGGGCACTTGGAACTTAACTCAGGTTAAGCATTCATACTAAGCCAGGTGGTGGTGGTCCACGCCTTTAATCCCAGCACTTGGGAGGCAGAGGCAGGCAGATCTCTGTGAGTTCGAGGCCAGCCTGGTCTACAAGAGCTAGTTTCAGGACAGGCTCCAAAGTTACAGAGAAACTCGCCTCAAAAACCAAAAAGAAAAAAAAGTTTATACTGCTCTTGCAGAGGAACTGAGTCAGGTTCCCAGCACCCCCACCCGACAGCTCACAACTGCCTGTAACTCTAGTTCCAGGTGATCTGATCTCCTTCTGAACTGTCTGGGAACCTACACTCAAGTGCACACACCCACACATACACATATGATCATAAAAAATAAAAATAAATCTCTAAAATCGATCTTACTAAATCGTGGTTTTCAAAAAGGGTGTAGATTTTCCTCTTCCCTGAGAAAGGGAAGAGATCCTACTGTTGTCTCTGCTTCTATTGAACTGGTCCATTCGTTCATTCACTGAGAAACAATGCAATGAATTCTTGTCCTTTGTCAAGCACCCTGGATCCCAGGAGGTAGTGATTAGCAAACACAGAAAACAATCCTCCTCTTGTGGAGTTACTATTGTGACTTAGAAAATAAAACATAAAGAATCTCACAAGCAAATCCATCACTGCAAGATATAGAAATGGCACAAATTCATCCTAGAAGGTGACCTGGGGTGATCAAAAGCAAAGAGCAGATCCGGTCTGGAGCATTTAAGGCTGAGATGTTCAAGATGAAGTGTGTCTAGTAAGGCCAACTTCAGCTCCCAGGAAAATGGCTTAGCACAGGTCCTGAAGAGGCGGGACTGAGTGTTCTGAAGCACCAAAAGAAAGACACACAGGGAGGGACAGGAAATGGACTGCTATGCTGAAGGGCTAATGGCTCTCAGATTCCGCTGGGACTCTTGGCCGTATAAAAGACTTCTGTTTAACCTCAGAACAGAGACCAGTCATGGGAAGTTGGACTGCAGGTCTGGGAGTTTATAAGATCCCTTTGGGGTCAGGATTGTGATAGAACAACCCAAGGCCAAAGGCAGAGTCCATTGCAGGATCCAGATAAAGTTTGTGAGATTTGGGGGGCGGTTAGGGGGTGTTGTTTGTTTGTTAATAGGGTCTCACGTGTAGCTGAAGGTGACCTTCAACTTCTGATCCTCCTGCCTCCACTACTGGAGCACTGGCAGTACAAGAATACAGTGCTGAGGAGTGAACCAAAGGCTCCCCGTGTGCTTGGTCAGCACTCCAACTGAACTATATCCCCCCACACCCACCCTCCTAACCCACAAACCAGCACTCTACCAACTGAACTATATCCCCCCCACACACACACCCTCCTAACGCACAAGCCAGAACGCTACCAACTGATCTGTACCCTCACCCTAACCCATAAGCCAGTTTTGATAGCTTGGCTCAGACTGGTGAAGGAGCTGACCAAAACAGAACCTAAGCAATGATGGTGTTCAAGTCTATAGGCCTGCAAGATGGAAGCAAAGAAGGAACTGTGATGTACTGAATCTTTCTTAATTAGCATTTTTATTTATTCTTTGTTAACTAAATGTATCTACAGAATGTCTTTTGATCATATCCACTCCTCACTCCACCCCCTGACTCTCCCCAGATCTCTCTAACATGTCCCCTCCCATCAACTTGTCCTTCTGCCTTAGATGGGGTTGGAGAGGGTTTATTCAGCTCATGCTACGTCACTGTTCATATCAAAGGAAGTCAGGATAGAACCCCGACTGAACAGAAGTGATATTGGTGTCATTCACTTCAGGACTCTGTAAAATGTGGGGCCTGGTTTATTGGGGTTCTCTGTCCTGCCCGGTTCCCACAGCTGTTTAGCCCCAAAGACAATCACACAGAGGTCTCCATAACTTATAAGCTGATTGGTCAATTAGCTCAGGCTCCTTATTAGCTCTTATGACTTATATTAACCCATTATTCTGATCTATTTTAGCCATATGGCTTGGTACCTTTTTCAGCTGGCAGGTCACATCCTGCTTCCTAAGTGATCTGTGCAGGACTGGGAGGAATCAGCTTCCTCCTTCCCAGAATTCTCCTGTTCTCATTGCCTCACCTCTATTTCCTGTCTGGTTTTCCTGCCTATACTTCCTGCCTGGCCAATCAGCGTTTATTTAAAACATGATTGACAGAATATAGACAATTCTCCCGTACAAGGACTCCCTTTCCTATCTCTAAATCCCTCTCTTTGCTACATCAACTACTCTTGGTTCTTCTAGCCGCATCTACTCCATGCCTGCCACCTGGTCTCTAGACAGTGGGTAAATAGGCTGATAAATAGCAGAAAGAAAGCAAGAGTGGGTGACATCGACTCATTTCTTCCCAATTGATGTGTTGAAGTCTCAGCTCCTAGTGTGACCTGGCTTGAGGGGAGGAGCTTTGGGCCAGAAACTAAGGCTAAATGAGGGCATAGGGGTGGGGCCTCCATCCAATAAGATTAGAGCCCTTATATAAACAGGAAGGAAGAGCAAAGAGTCTCTCTTCTTGTGGGAGGTGAGAAGAGGTTGAGCAGGTTGTGAAGGCGCATGCCCTTAATCCCAGCACTTGGAGGCAGAGGCAGGTCACTGCGCTTGAGGCCAGTCTGGCCTACAGAGTGAATCCCAGGGCCGTCAGGACTACACAGAGAAGTCTTCTTTCAAAAACAACAACAGCAAACAAAACAAAACAAAACAGGAAAAATAAATCAAAACTAAAAAGAAGAGGTCTTGGGTACCCAGATGCCACACCGATCTTAAACAGAATGGTAAAATTTAAGTGCAAGAAATGTCAGTATTTTTATTGGTTCAGCCACCGGTCCCTGGCATTTTTACGACAGTCTAAACATGTTAATACGACAGGTATGAAGAGGTGTGAGAGAGTGGAGAAATGGTGGGGTGGTAAAGGGTGGTTCTGTGGGAGGGGGGCGCGTGTGCTGGTATGTGGGGGTCTTGTGAGGAGGCTGTGCTGTCCTGACATTGCCTCATCAGGTGTGTGTACTGACCACCAGCTCTTCCTACAGATTCTGGTTTTGGTTTTTGTTTGTTTTTTAAGAAGTCACCTTAGACAACTGCAAGTTCTTAATGGAGGGAAGGGAAGGCAGCAACATCAACCACTGTGGGACCCACGGTCCCCATCCTATGAAGGAGCTGTGGCAAGGGCCACACCTAGGACAGGACCTCGCCCCCATCCAAAGTCCAGTTTGTCTTTGAAAAAGAGAGTGGAAAAATGTTGAGGTCAAAGGACACTGTTGTTCCTGTTGACCAAGCTCACTTCCCGGCAGAAGCCGATTTGCAGAGTCCCGTGATCTCGAGAGCTGCGTATTTTGTAAGTCTTTGAGGAGGACAGGCATCGGTGGAGACCCAGAGAAAAGCAGGAAGGGAGGAATTACTGATGAGGTTTGAAACCCAAAGGGAGGGCTGTCTCGTGGGTCAGGCTAAATCACACCCACTGCCTTTTAAACTAGGCCTCCCTTCTGTTACACAGCCCAGAATATTCTTAACCTAGTAGCCTAAGAATTTTATATTTGTAACTACTGGAAAGTTCAAATGTCAAGCTAAAAGGGAGTCTGCTCTCATGAGGTTCTAGTTGGCAAAATTCCATTTGCAGTGTGTGTGTGTTTGTATATGTGTATGTTTATATATGTACTTGTATAAGCATGCATTTTATAGATATATATGTTCATATTTTTGTGCTTATATATATATTTGTGCATATGGCTGTATATGTATAGGTGTGTACTTGTGTATGTGTGTGCTTATGT